CTATGTATCTGGCATTATTCTTGGCACTGTTGGTACAGTGGTGACTAAAACAGGCCCAGATCTCAATTTTCTTGTGGGGCTTACATGCTGGTGAGGAGAGAGAAAGAAACCAAAAATCAGTAAACTTAATATTTCAGAAAGCAATATTACCATGGAATTGGAAATAGCAGCAGCAACAATGAAGGAAAGTGGGAAGCATTGGGATAATGCCGGAAGTGGGTTATAATTTTAAGCAGGATCACCTCATTGAGAGGATGACATTGGATGACAGATGAAGAAGAGGAAGGAGAAAATCACACAGCAGTCAATGAACTGAGCATCTTATGCCAAAGGCTTAGGAAGCTCACAGGCTTTGTGGACAGAGTGCTTGTGGTGTTTGAAGGCAGCAGGTCACACTGTGTGGCTGGAGCAAAGTGTGTTTGGGAGAGCCATGACAAAAGCCAAAGGTAGGTAGAAGGGTGAGGAAAGAGGCTCCAGACCACTTAGGTCTCATGCCTTACTGGCAGGTGAAGTGACAGCACCTTCTGTCAGAAGAAAGGAAGCCAGTGGGGCTCTAGTGCAGGAATACTCTGACATATTTTCAAAGGGCCACTGTGTATTAAACATAGACCAGAAGGAAAAAGGCTGGCAGTAGGAAAATCAGATAAGGGGACCATTCAAATAATGTGAGGGGAAGATGAGTGGTGGAGGTATGAGTAGTCGTGGTGGTCAATGGGATATGTACAGGGTTCTTCAATAAGATTGTCGGAAAATGGAATTAAAAAATAAATTTACTTTAAAAAATCCATGTATTGTTTTCATAATATGCATCTTTCATGAATGTTTTTAAGACCCCCCAATATGCTTGGATTTCAAGAACTTTTGCATCAAGATAAGGTTTTCTTTTAATTCAATTTTTCATGAGCTTTTGGAAGCACCTCACGTATGTGTACACACACACACACACACACATAAGTTCTTCAAAAAGGTTCTTGAAAAATGGAACTAAAAGGTGATGTACATGCTCCATGAACTTCCTGAAATATTCTTGTATATATATGATAGAAACAGTAAGAATTACAGACAGGTAAGATGATTCATATGAGTGAGACTGTGTCAGAAAGAATTCATAGCTCATTCTGCACATCTTGAACTTTACAAATTGGAATGGGATTCGATGAGGGAGGGACTTGCTTGGGGAAGATCAGTTTTTGAAATCACAAGTATGAGATGTCTACATTCATGTGAATATTTGTACTAGGAAGCTGGGAATCATGTGGTATTCAAAGAAGGGCATAAGGTAGTCAAAGAAATGGGCATAGGGAGATTAGAAATATTTTAAAATATTTATTTATTTTTATTTGAAAGGCAGAGTTATAGAGAGAGAAGGAGAGACAGAGAAAGATCTTCCTTCCACTGATTACTCCTGAAATGGCCACAATGGCTATAACTGAGCCAGTCGGAAGCCAGGAGTCAAGAGCTTCTTCCAGGTTTCCTATGGGAACACAGGGACCCAAGGACTTGAGCCATCTTCTGCTGCCGTCCTGGATTATAAGTGAGGAGCTGGATTGGAACCGCCAGGGCTTTAACTGGTGCCCATATGGGATGCCGGCCTACAGGTGGAAGTCTGATTTGCTAGGCCATAGTTCCAGCCCCTAGATTAGAAATTTAAGTGAACAAAGCCTTTTTATCACCATCCTATCAAATGTAATGTTTTAGGCATTATCAAAATTGATGAAATATTAATACAAGTAGACTAGTCCATAAATATCTAAGAAAATCAGCAAAACGTATTTATGGAATATTGATCTATCAAATTCACAAATACTTGGGAAGTGCTGCTTAAATACTGGGCCACAAAAAATATAAAGATATAAAATATCTTTCCAGACTTAAAACACTCTACTTTGGTGCAGATGACTGGGAGTGGCTGCAACAGCATAGTGGGATCAAGATGACTGATGGAGGCCCCTGAGGTTGTTAGGAAAGTCATAGGAGTTAGAAAACCTTTGGGCCTGGTACAGTAGCATAGCAGCTAAAACTCCTTGCTTTTCATGTGCCCGGGGTCCCACATGGACACCAGTTCATGTCCCGGCGGCCCCGCTTCCCATCCAGCTCCCTGCTTGTGGCCTGGGAAAGCAGTCGAGGATGGTCCAAAGCCTTGGGACCCTGCACCCACATGCGAGACCTGAAAGAGACTCCAGGCTCCTGGCTTTGGATCAGCTTAGTTCTGGCTGTTGCAGCCACTCTGGGAATGAGTCATTGGACGGAAGATCTTCCTCTCTTGTCTCTCCTCCTCTCTATATAACTGCCTTTCCAATTAAAAAAAATATTAAAGAAAAAGAAAACCTAGGTCAGCGACCTTTTCCTGTAGAGAAACCAAACCCATGACCAGTCAAATAACTGAGAAGTGTGAAGACCTCTGCAGAGCAACAGAAGTAGTATCACAAGGGAATACGTGAAGTTCTGCTAAACATGAACACTTGCCTTAGAAATTGCTCTTTCCAGGCTGGGATAGCTAGGCAGGCTTTGCTTGGGTGAAATTCCAACTAAGACTTAGGGAGAATTAGGGATAGGCTATTTGAAAGGAGTGTTCTTAGAGGAGTGAGCTGCCTGTGAAATGTTTTCAGAAAGGGAGGTGACAGGAGAAGATGCAAAGTTCTGAGAACCTGACTGTGGCTGTCCTGAGGAGAATGGATGACCACCGTGATTCTAATAGACCCGACCAAGATCCCTGCAAAAATGTTTGCCATGAAGTTTGTTGGGAGAATGGGCTATTCAAATTGAACTGTGTAGCAGAGAGTTAGATATGTAGGGCCAGGACTTGGGTGAGAGATTTGGAGAATTGTTTGGAGGGAAAAGCTACACTCCTAGAAGTTTACCAGATCTCTCAGGGAGAAAGTGTGGAAAGAAAAAAATGGAGAAGGGTAAGAGCTTCCTATCATTTAGATACCCACTCTAAGGAATAACCCCATGCCACCCCCAAAAAACTAAAACATTGACCAGAGACAGGAGCAGGACAAGGTATTACAGGGCCTGAAAGGAAGTCGACATAAATGTGCAGAAAGTTGAGGTTGGATAACAACACTGTTTCATTTCCCATAAAAATTTTTATTAAGCTATCTTAGACAATAAAAAGACACTGAGGTAGATGGCTAAAGCATGATTAAACACTCATCTAGGATGGAAAGGCCAGAAGGAGAACTTACAAATCACTCATTTCTGCATTCTTACAAATAAATGAGTAGAAGTAGGCCTCCAGAGGAGTACACCTCCAAGATCAGGTAGCTGTAGAGTATTCCTTGCCATAACCAGAAGATCCTTGGAGGTTTAATAGAGTTTTATCTTTTCATCATGGTTCCTAACTAAGCCTGAATAAAGTTCATTATTCTAAGATATAATGGAAATAGTTAAATGAACTTTGAGTGTGCATATTTTTTTAAAGTAGGGAATATTTTGGCTTATGTTATCAATTCTCTCTGTTAATGCTGTGCGTGGTTACCTGTTTACAATCCAAATCCATTTGGAAGGACAATCAGCTCCAATTGTGTCACTTCATTCAGTCACAATTTTTCTCTTTGCAGGCAAAATGCAGGTTCAATACTTAGTGAAACTTTCCTTGACATTCCCTTAGCAATTGATCTTTTGGCTTTCCCTAGAATCTGTTTAACTGCAGGTTAGAACTTATTAGTAGGCAATGAAGTCAACTTAGCCAATCATACCCAGAAAAAATATAGAAATGATCTGAGAACATTACACGTAACACCTATGACAAATTTGGTTTATTTTACTTAAGAGTGAAAAATTTACTCCACGTAAGAGTGTGTGTTTTGTATTGTGAGAGAAAAGAAGTTTAAAAAACAGTTTCGAGGATTGTAGTGTGAGATTTGTATCTTAACATGCATTTAACAGTTTATGGACCCCCAGGTCTTTGAGGACTGCATAGGGTTATTATTAAGATTTGGGAAGAATATAAAGAATGAAAGCAGATAGGTTGGAAGGGGAGTGAGTGCTTAAATTAAGTATGAGCTTTTAACATGTCATTTTTTTGTGGTTGTTATCTGTGCTGTGAGGTTATCTCCCAGTCACCTTCCATGCATGTCCCTGTGATGTGGTATAAATAATACTTCCTGCTAATGTTGCAGCTGTCACTCAAGGATCTTAAATTGCTTAGGAGCAGGATCTGGTGATGAGTGCCCGGCTGCACTTGGCAGGTGTCCGAATTAAAAACCAGTGGCTGGCTGAAATTGCCGGGCTCCAGCATGGTGGCTCCTTTCCTTGGGTCCTCCCACACTGTTTTCTCCCCAACCCCTCTTCCATGGAGGGAGGAGCCCTTGGGAGTTTGTGTAACTAGTAAACAGAATTTGCAATGGTTCCCCTGCGCTAGAAAATTCCTCTGTCTTTGGAAGTAGCGGGGGTGAAGATGAGTAGAACACGGTAATAAATGCTAACAGTAATTTAACTGAGGGGAGGTGCTAGGAAAAACACAGGGAGGAAACCTGAGAGAGGAATTCTGGATTTTCAAAGGAAATTTTCAAAAGAAAAACTCATGATGTGAATAGCTCTGTAGGCAAAAAGGGGTATTTCACACTGACCCACATATTGTGGGCCATTTGTTGTACATGTGCTGTCCATAGCAAACTCATTTCTTGTTTCTGGCCATGGGCCTTTGGGTTTTAGTGTCCATGTCAGTCACCAGGAGCTTAGCTGCTCCTCTCCTCCTCCCGGACTCCACTATGTTCTTCTCTTTGCAGCCGATTGCTACCTTGAATTATGCCCCATCCCCATTTCCTGGAAGCTTCTTGGGGGGTCACTCCCCTCCTTGCCAAGAAGCTGTTAACTGCCTGCGGTTGGGCCTGGAAGACTCCAGGAGGGTGACAGCCCAATCCCCTGCTGGGAATCGGGTTACAACACTTGTGTCTGAATTCACACAGCATGTTCCTCTGTCAGGGATTCCGCAAATATCTCCCCGAGGTAAAAAAAGAAAGTGCACTGCACTCCAGCGCTCAGAGAGCAGTGAGCCCAAGACCTGGAGAGCACGCCAGCGGTCCGGGCCATGTTGCGGTAGCCCCGGCCTCCCTCGCGGCCCCACAGCCTCGGTGCGGCCCAACAGGCTCTTTTCATGTTGAGGTGCAGCAGCACCATGTTCCTAGGGTGAGAGCTGCTAGGGCATGCTGCTCCCCATGGGTTGCCCACCATGTCTAATGGATATCGCACTCTGTCCCAGCACCTCAATGACCTGAAGAAGGAGAACTTCAGCCTCAAGCTGCGCATCTATTTCCTGGAGGAGCGCATGCAACAGAAGTATGAGGCCAGCCAGGAAGACATCTACAGGAGGGTGAGTATGGCCTTGCTGAGGGCAGAAGGGTTGGGGCTGCGGTTGGGATTTGCTTGCCCATTCTATTCCAGGCTTTTTTTTTAAGGCTGGTGTTGTGTAGGTCAGCAAGAGAAATGGGGTCCAGGTCTGGTCACCTTAACACCATCATAACTTTGGCAAAGCCCATTTGAACTCTCTTATGCCTGTTGCTACTATCCTTCTCCATAGGGAAAGCTGGCTAAAATCTGATCCTTTCAAAGGCTGGTCTGGAGCTGTGTGTAACAGTCACCTTGGGTGCCAATTTAAACTATAAATTCCATCCAGTTCCTGGGAATTTGACTTGGTAACAGAAAGAGGAAGCTTGGATATGTACATTTTTATACTAACACAGAGATGAGACTCATGCAAGTGGCTTCCACACCACACATTCCACTAGAAAGGCCTCTTTAGCTTTGGCTCAAAGGAGACACCATGAAGAAGAGACCAAGGGTTGAGGATACTTTCTGTTCCTTGAGAAGTCCATGTTTGTTTCGAAGATGATGAGGTAGATACACTTTCTAAGAGAGATTCTTAGGAATAGATCATCTTAGGTTGAAGAGGGTACTTCATCGTCCAGCATGGGACAGGAATGACGCCTGCCCTGTCTTGACTGATGGGCATGTCTGAGGATGACATGAGGTAATGTCCTCAGTAGGAGGACGTTAGACCACAGGTCACGAGGATCAGGCAACCTAACTGACCGCCGCCATGCTGATTTTCTCAACCCTCTGCATCTTTGGGCCAGCAGAGGCATGGGGCTGGTTGTCTGACTTTGTCAGATTCTGAATCAGCAGCTGTTCCCATCAGAGGACTGAGCAGACATGATTATGCCCTGTGTGTGCTGCTCCTTTAAGAAGTAGCTTGTGGTGCTCTGGAGGCTGTGGATAACATCTTGGGTCACAGGATGTGCTGGTGTCTCTGACTTGGTAGTGAAATCTACCAGAGACTGTTTCTAGTCTTTCTCCAGTGCCTGTGTTTTAATTTGAATTTTCCTGAAATGTGCATGGACTAGCCCGCCATCTTCTACATGGCGTGTAGAATGCGAAGATCATTGACATTTTGCCGCGTTAGTGTCATTGGCACTACTGAGGGTCCAGGAGGGCATTGTCAGGTCGGGAGCTGGAAGGAGAGTGGCAGTGTTTACCTGAGGGTGGGAAGACAGGATGAATCTGTTGACTTTGCAGAGGGAGTGAGTTTTCTCTTTAGCTCTGTCTCCTAAAGGCAGCAGGAAAGAGCAAAGTCTCAGTTGGTTTGGAGGCAATGATTTCTTTCAGCTGGAGTCTAGTGACTGAATCGTTTGGTTGCACCTTCTATGCTACACTCTGGGTGGTGTGTGAGAAGTGCCAGTTCTCCTCTGGAGCAGTGTGAGTGAGCAGATTAGAGTTGCTGCACAAGAGGGAGAGTGGTGGGAGCTGAGTCATGTGCATTTTCACACACAGTGGTGACCAGGCTTTCACTAGACTCCTGTGTTGCCGCAGGATCCTATTCAGGGTGTGGATAACAGCCCTCTGCTGCCTAGTTTTAGTTATGAGCAGGTTAGTCAGGCACCTACTGCCTTATTTGTCTTGCTGGATCTCATGCCACATATCCTCTTCTTTCCCTTCTCGTCAAACCTTGGTCAGTCTGTCTGTGGCATCCCTCTGTGCATTTGGTTACTATTATTTGAAAAACATGGAAGATTTAGTTTAATATCCTCCTATTATAGGGGCAGCAGAACACATAAAACCATTATTGGCCATTAACAGCACTTGAAATAAGTCTACCACACAACCTAGGGATGGAGGGTTGATGGAAGCCAGGCAGATCCATTTTGATGGAAGGACAAAGAATAAGGAAGTCACCAAATCAAGAGTCCTTCTGAATGACCAGGGGGCACAGGTATGTAGCCTGCCCTCCTTGAACCTGTTCCAGTGTCTCATTGGCACTGAGAACAGTGCCTACCTGGCAGCCATGAAGATCATTGTTAGCTTAGCAGCATCATGCTTCTATGAGGGGATAGTGGTTACATTTCTGTTAGTATCTATCGCTATGATATTTAAAGCTGTGAGAGCTTGATCCTTAATAACCTCACTCTCGTGTATTTCCACAAATGCATCATAGGCTCATCCTTTTCATTCACATAGTAACTCCACAGGATTGGGGAGATTGATCACCAGCAGTGTTGGTGGAGACATCAAGGGTAGTATGCCTTCCATCCCATGTATGTCAGGGGTTTCAACAAGATTTTAGAGCCCGAATCTGTTACCAAACCTGGCTTGATGTTTCTTTAGTGTTGGAAAGACACATCATGAAAAATAGACATAGTAAAAACATTAACTCATGTCTGCACTAGCATTTGCAATAGTTTGAGTGCTGTATACATTATTATTGTTTAAGAAGACCAAGGTTTATGAAACACATACTATGTAAATCAAGATTAATTCTCTGTTTTGCATATTTGTTACTGCAGACTTCTATTGAGCTGTTTTTACTTAAGAGTGAAAAATTACTGTTTCGATGAGAGAGAGTGAGCCATGGATATATGAAGCGCTTGGGGTCAGAGGGTGAGAGAGAATGTTGTGCTTGTCTTTTCAGATGACAGGTTCTCCTTTAAGTAATTGGGTGAAAGGGAGACTAAACGAGATATATAATCTATTACTGAAAAGGAAGCTAAAAGGATTTTTACTGTAAGAGTAGTTGTAAGAACCAGAAAACTATGTTAAAAATTAGGAGTAATAACTTTAAAAAAGCAATTAAAAAAAGGAGTTTAGGGGTTCTTTCAGCTATTCAGAGGACTAAAACCAAAAATCTTTATATATTTACATTTTTTTAAAATTTTGAATTTTATGGTACAATTTTGTAAGGTCTAGGATTTCCCCAAACCATCTCCCCACAAATCCGCACCCCCTGACTGATTTTCCCCATATTAATACAATAGTATAGCCCTTCATAAGCAGTCATAAGTCCATTAATCTTTTACTTAAGTGTTCCCTGACATTGCTGGTACAGACAATGTCAGACAGTCCAGCATCCCATCGTCTAGATATGTCCAACAGTTTCATTGGGAGTCCATCTTTGGTTGGGAAGTAGGTTATGCATATTGCATTACATCTTCACATCTGAATGTGATAGTCTGTTACACTATCACTATACATTCCCTTAAATGAGGAGCCATGCAGCAAAGTCAGCAGGTAGAAGTTAAAACAGAACATTTACAGCACCATGGAGTCAAAAAACGCACCACTGAATAACCAATGAATGGGTGAAGAAAACGCAAAGCCTCTTGGGTAAAATAATGCCACCATGCGATCTATGAGCCAGCAATGAATTTGACAAGAGAAAAGAAACTATTTGGAAGAAATGACAATGAAAACAAATCATCAAAACACATGGGATGTAGCGAAAACAGTATGAAAAGGGTTATTGATCTTACAGTTTGCATGAGGGTCACCTTATATCGGAGAGAACATATGGTATTTGTCCTTTTGGTATTGACTTATTTCACTGAGCATAATGTTTTCTAGTTGGGACCATCTAGTTGCAAATGGTATAATTTCGTTCTTTTTAATGGCTGAGTCATATTTCATAGAGTAGATGCACCACAGTTTCTTTAACTCCTCTTTGGAAGGGCAGCTGGGTTGTTTCTATGCTATCGTAGACTGTGCTGTTATAAACATAGGATTACAGATCCCCTTCTCATATGCAGTTTTCATTTCCTTTGGATATATTCTAGGAGTAGAATAGCTGGATCATGTGGCAGGCTTATTTGCAATTCTCTAAGCACTCTCCATACTGATTTCCATAATGGTTGTACTATCCTACACTTCCACCATCAGTGGAGGAAGGTACCTTTCTCCCCACATTCACATCAGCAGGTGTTAATAGAATTCTGAATGTAGGCCAGCCTCACTGGAATTAGTTAGAACCTCAATGTGATTTTTATTTGTATCTTCCTAATGGCTAGGGAGCCTGAGCATCTTTTCATATGTCTGTTAGCCAATTGAATCTGTTCTTTGGAAAATGTCTGTTCATTTGCTTCGCCTGAAAACAAAAGTCTTAAGAATCCTATTAACCATGGACTAATAAAGTAGAAATTGGTTCACTGAAACCGACTACTTTAATAAAAGTTATTTATTTGAAAGGCAGAGCCATGTCAAACATGAGGTGATATAAAGTACTTCTGTTATTTTCCCACATTCACTAACAGGAAGCTGAATCTGTAGGGAACAGGCTGGGACTCTGATGTGTTGTACTCACAATCTGTGGCTTAGTCGGCTGCACCACACAGTGGCCTGATTGATTATTCTTTATAAGTTGAGCTTTTAAGGTAATTTTATTTTTTATAAATAGTGATTAAAAAAAAAGATGATGGCTTACCTCTGCTCAAATATATGTATGAGGATGCTTCATGTAATTAAAAGTAAATTTATTTTGGCGCAAAAATTTTTTTCGATATTTTCTTCATAGTGTGCATGTCCATGACTTTTTGGAAAATCTTTTGTATACTGATGTGATTAGATACTTCTGCCCCCTATTGGTAGCAAACATTAATTGTAAGTTCAGGGTTTTGGGGAAGACTAAACATAAAAGGCAAGCAAAGAGGGTATCATTGCAGCCAAAGTAACTCCCCATCTGAAGCAATGTAAAGTGAGAAGATGCTGCCAGGGGTCCACAGAGTCACCCACTCCCAGGGAGATTGGCTTGTTAGCATTTCTGGATGGCAACTGCTGTGACAAGACATTTCTGGGTCTTGGCCAGCTTCTTTATTGTTGATTACCTAATCCAGCATCTTTTTGTATTAGCTGCATGCTGCCACTAGGAACATGCCTGGCCCTGAATTTGTGAAATCCACTGCTGTGTGGTGAACACTCCATCAACAAACAGCACACAAAGCTACCACCCAGTGTGCCTTACCTGGTGATGACCACTTGTTCAGCTTGTGTGCAGTTACTGGTTCCCAGGGTTGCTAAAAAGCATTTAAAACTCCAGGTTAAGAATAGACT